AGAGACAGAAAGCGAGAAATCACCCCCCAGGGGGGATGGTCACGCCGCAATCCCTTCTCCTCCATTCTCCTCTCGGGATCTTGGGCACGCACGCACATGCGCCCAGCGTGAGTTTTAAGCCACCGGGTCCGGGACGCGAACCGCGGTCGACTACGTGGGAGTCCAGCGACATAGCCATTACGCTAACTGCTGGTTCCCAAGCCTGTAATAATTCTGATTTTCACAAGCAACATGACAGCGATCTTTTCCCAGCATCCTGCCCTTCAATGATGTTATCGTTCTTTTTAACTTTTGCCAACCTGACAGATGTCAAGTGGTATCTCCTTGAAACTCTTACCAACACATTTTCTTAGTCCTAAAGGTATTCACAGCACTGTACTCCTTTCGGAGCCCTCAAATTTGGCTCCTTTTGGAGACCCAAAACTCACCTCCCAAGCCCAACCGGAATTCTGACCAGTGGCCTCCAGGCCCCAACATTTCATCTCATCCATCTAAACTTTCTAAAAAGAATTTTCTTTAAAGAGAGATATTTGCTAAGCAGCTCACCAGAAAGACAGAAAGTAATAAATCTCCCTCCAGGGAGGATGGCCATACAGCAATTCCTTCTCCTCCACTCTTGAGATTTTGGACACCCACGCACACATGCCCAGCCTGAATTTCAAGCCCCTGGGTCCGGGACTTTAAGGGCAGGCAGCCATGTGGGAGTCCAGCGCCTTAACCACCACACCACTTGCTGGCCTCCATCTAAAAAATATATATATATTTTTGGAGAGGTTTATGCTATAGGGCGCATGCACTCGCCAGAAAGACAAGGAGACAGAAAGCGAGACATCACCCCCCTGGGGGGTTGGGGTTGCCACACCGCAATCCCTTCTCCATTCTCCTCTCGGGATCTTGGGCCACGCACGCATGCGCCCGGCGTGAGTTTAATCCACCGGTCCCGGACTCGAACTGCAGTAGACTACATGGGAGTACAGCGACATAGCCATTACGCTAACTGCTCACCCTATCTAAAATTTTAATGACTGCTCCCAATTAAAGCCTGTGGAAGCGGCTCTGTTCCCTTCTATTTCTTTCCAGATTCTCTCCATCCTCCCAAATTCACACCAATCAAATTCTGCCGCATGGACCAGTCCCCCTCAGAGGCCCAGCCCCTCGACTTCTGCATCTTGCCTCCATGCATCTTTCTGGTTACCCAGGCCTCTGCCTCCCCAACGGAGGGCCCTCTCTCCCAGGCAGGCTCCTGGAGGCCCAGGCCAGCCCTGTGCCAACAGCTGGGGGAGGGGCCGGGTCGCCTGAGGCGGGGGCTAAGTTTAGGCACGCTGGGGGGAGGGGGCCTCCCTGCAGCTGTGCTGGCCAGTCCGGGTCCCTGAGTGACAGCACCGCCTGGGCCCAAGGTTGGGGGAGGGGTCTTCCCAGCTCGTGGGCCACAAAGCCTGGGATGCAAGGAGAGAGGACCCTCCGCTCCCTTCACGCCCTCGCCAGACGCCCCCTCAGCTCCCCAGCCCCAGCCTGCGGCCCTAGGGAAACTCGGATCAGGAGGAAATATCCCCTAGTTTTGAGGGAGATAAGGGTGAATCTGGACCCCTTTCCGCAGCCCCTCAATCCCGGTCCCTGCCGGCCCTGCAAGCCCACCTTTACTCCCCATCTCGGCTCCGAGTGAGAGGTTGCGGACACCGCTGCTTCTGGGGGATTTTGCCCACTCCAGTGGAACCCGGAGGGATGGTGTAGGGGGCGGGTCCCCTTTGTACCCAACCAATGGCTGTCCACAGAGGTGGGGACAATTCCAAAATTGGAACTGTCTTTGTAAACAGCCAAAAGCAGTGATGTCTACGACCAGGGCTGTGCCTGGGGGCGGGGCATGTTTTAAAGTAAGGCAACTGGCCCTGGCTTCCGAGGTTAGGGAAGAGTCGTGTTTCGTTTGTTTCGTTTTTTGTTTTTAAAAAAGGCATAGAGTTTGCTGGTCAATGTCCACATGCCATATCTAAAAAACAGCCTTATTTCCTCAGAGGTTTGGTCTGTTCAGAATCAGTCTTCAGCGGGGAGCATTCCAAGAGACAGAGGATTATTTTTTAGTAATCAGCCAATCCAAAACTCAAAGCAGGGCAAATTTCTCAACTCTACATAAAGAGCCATTGGGAGTCTCAGAAAACAGGATGCTTCTTTTTTTTTTTTTTTAGAGGTTTTCGCTATAGGGTGCGTGCGCTCACCAGACAGACAGAGAGAGACAGAGACAGAAAGCGAGAAATCACCCCCCAGAGGGGATGGTCACGCAGCAATCCCTTCTCCTCCATTCTCCTCTCGGGATCTTGGGTACGCACGCACACGCGCCTGGTGTGAGTTTTAAGCTGGGTCCAGGATGCGAACCGCGGTCGACTACGTGAGAGTCCAGCAACATAGCCTTTATGCTACGCTAACTGCTGGTTCCCTACAGGACGCTTCTTAAAAAGGCGTAATTTATAATGTCATCCAATGGCCGCACTTCCTTCTCCAATAGCCTCTTTCCTTTACAAGGTTTGTCCCTTTAAATGGCTAATCAACCCACCCTTTGCCTCTCTGTAGTCCAATGGAACACCCTCAAGTGAGGCTTACCTAGAAAGTGTGGCTCCAATGTAAATTTTGATTGGTCTGTGCTACTGAGGCACTGTGCCGTGATTGGCTCCCACTCCAGCTGCCCCCATGGCTCGTCCTCTTCGTCCAGCACGGGGTGGTCAGGTCCAGAGTTCGAATCCCGGGACCGGGGTGGAGACGGGGTACTGGCCTGGGGGGCTCCAGAACACAGGCTAGGCTGGGGAGTCAAGATCTCAAGCCGCGAGGATTGAGCGAGTCGCAGTTGTAGGTCCAATTCTGGCACAATAGAGAAAGAAGGCCATGAGCTTTCACCTCGGAGGTACCCCCAAAAAAGACCACCCACCCTTCGTGGCCACGGACCCCAGACCTGGGATAGCTCACCTGCCCCAGCCTCTCCCACCTCTGATCCATCCGGCTCCTCGTCTTCCAGTGGAGTGGAGCTGCTGGTGGCAGAGTCCTCTCCGGAACCCACTCCCCTGGCCGCCCAGCCCAGCTGATCCAGCCTGAGCCTCAGGTCCTCCACGGGGTGCTCCGTTAGAGGGGCGGAGTCAGGGTCACCACGGCGACCAGGCTCCGGAGATTGGCTCAGGCTGGGGATGCTCTCCAAACTGTCGCCCAATCCTGGCTGAGGGGGCAGGTCTCGCGGTTCCGACACTGAGCGGCCCTGGGGCCGAGGGCGACGGGCAGCTGAATCCCTGCGGCCCCCAGAGCCCACTATGCCATCGAAGGCTATATAGGAGAACGTCAGCTCCCGGGGGGTGCCCCAGTCCTGCGACGTAGTCTCCTCCTCGTCGTCCTCAGAGAATTCCCGGGCTGTGTGCAGCTCCCGAAAATCGGAGTCGTCATTACCTCCTGCAGAGGGATGAAGGCCAGCCTGAGCTTCTCTGAGTAGGACCCCGACTCACCCCGTCAGGAGCCCCCTTTAAATGCCTCCCTCACATCCTCCACTTTCACCTACCTTCTGTAGAGTCAGGGGTAGATGAGGCTGTAGACGGAGCTTCTTCTGTAAGAGGAAAAGGACAGAAAACTCTTAGAAGCTTAGAGCGACCGAATCCCAGAAGCGTGCCAGTCCTGGAATCTTGGATGGTCGGAATCGAGGAAACTTAGACCATTCGGTACCCGGGACCTTTAGAACATTTTGCACAGACTATAACACTTAGTACTACTGCCATCAGCAGCTCAGAGTTTTAGAAGTTCAAGTCCAAGGGGACCAGAAGGTGGCACAGTGGTTAAGGTGCTGGACTTAGCAATTCAAGTCCCAGACCTGGTGGCTTATAACACACCAGGTACATTTGCATACTTGCAATGTACATACAAGGCAAAGAAGGAGGAGGTGGCTGATCGGCAAGGCCCCCCTTTCTAGAATTACAACAAGATCTTAGAACGTTGGCATGGTATTCTAAAACATCGCAATGACAAATCCTGAGAGGAGAATGAAGAAGTAATTGTGGTGCAGCCATCCCCTGGGGAGGGGGGGTGACTTCTTGCTTTCTGTCTCTCCAGTAAATGCACAGTCCTATAGCAAAAATCTCTTTAAGAAAAAACTTAAATCCAGCAATCTTAATCATAGAGTCTTCAAATTAGGAATTTTAGAAACTTTTAATTCATTCGTTTTTTTGAAACGACCATGTATTACCCTACTGTAGCTCTGGGAAAAGAGCTATGACCAGAGCAAAGTCCCCTGTCCTCCCTCAGAGAGCCTACACTCTATGAGAGAAACCGACGTAGAGTAATTCTATGATGTTCGGTGCTGATAAGTGTGTGGTGAAAAATAAAGAAACTGTAAGAAACGAGAAAGTGGCCTGTGGGCTAGCGATGAGGGAGCCAGATCCTACATGGGTTTGAATCCTGGCCCCGCAGCTTGCACAGCACACTGGCTGTGTGTGCACACGTGTCCCGAATCTCTAAAGGGTGGAGAAACGGAGGAGAAAGGATTGCGTGGGTGGCCAAACCCCACTGGGGGCGCTTTCTCGCTCTATGGTGAGAGCACGCACCCTCTGGCAATTTCTTTTTTACAATTATTTATCGAATTTTTAATTTATTCATTCATTTATGTTAATTTGACCAGAGAGAGACAGAGAGAGAGAAAGAGGAAAAGTGGAAAAGCAAGCTTCCAGGTCCGGGATTCAAACTGTAGTGGGCCATGTGAGACTGTCCATCGCCTCAACAACTGCACCACCTGCTGGCCGCCCTCTGACAATTTTTTTTTTTTTTTGAGAGGTTTTTGCTATAGGGCACGTGCGCTCGCCAGACAGGCAGAGAAAGACAGAGAGATAGAAAGCGAGAAATCACCCCCCAGGGGGGATGGCCATGCCTCAATCCCTTCTCCTCCATTCTCCTCTCAGAATCTTGGGCATGCACGCACATGCGCCCGGCGTGAGTTTAAGCCACCAGGTCCAGGACGCGAACTGCGGTCGACTATGTGGGAGTCCAGCGACATAGCCATTATGCTATCTGCTGGTCCCTCTGGCAATTTTTAATTAATTAATTAATTTTGGAGAGGTTTTTGCTATAGGGCGCGTGTGCTCACCAGAAAGATAGAGACCGAGAGATAGAAAGTGAGAAATCACCCCCCAGGGGCATGGCCATGCTGCAATCCCTTCTCCTCCATTCTCCTCTTAGGATCTTGGGCACGCACGTACACGCGCCCAGTATGAGTTTAAGCCGCCGCGTCCGGGACTCGAACCGCAGTCGACCACATGGGAGGCCAGCGACATAGCCATTACGCTAACTGCTGGTCTCCCTCTGGTAATTTTTAGAAGAGAAAATGAGAAGGTGCTGTTCCAGACAGGGTGGTCAAGAAGGCTTCTCTGATACAGATGCTGTTTGAGGAGAGACCCTGAGTGATGTGCAGGCAATGGCCAGGGAAGAGTGTTCAGGCAGAGGAGGAAGCCAGCGCAAAGGCCCTGAGGCAGGCCGTGTGCTCAGTACCTCTGAGGAACAGAGAGGTGCGGTGTGACTAGAGTTGAGTGACCAAGGCAGACTGGGGTGGGAGATCAAGGCAAAGAAGGAGGAGGTGGCTGATCGGCAAGGCCCCCCTTTCTAGAATTACAACAAGATCTTAGAACATTGGCATGGTATTCTAAAACATCGCAATGACAAATTCTGACAATTTTGGCATCTGGACTCTTAAGAAGCACAGGGTGTGGGACAGAGAATGGTAGGCCTGGGCTGTGAGAGCCGTGGGTTCCAAGAGCGTGAGACTCAGACAGGCATTTTCAATCAGGAATCTAGCCTCTCGAAGCCAGCCTGGGGCTTGCACACAGAAATACTCAGTACCTTTTGGAAATTGAAATCGGATGCCTCCCCCTGTTTTTTTCAGCTCGGGAACTGGAGGCCGGGAGTGGAGTGGGTCATTCCCAGGGTTACCACTAATTAGCGGTAAAGCCCACTCTAGGACGCAGGAATCCTGGCCCCAAACCAGAAATGGCTATTTTCCAGGACAGGGGACTGAACGATTTGGGCGAGGTCAATTGCCTCTTAGGCGGAAAACGGGTGGGATGTGAAGACGGGTGATGGGGGAATCAGACGATTCTTCTCTGTTCTGGCTCTTACCCTCCTTTCAACCCCCTTCTCCAATAGCCGCGGCCAGCACCAGGGCCTGGGGACAGCTCCCCGCACGCGTCCTCACCCACGGGCGGGGCCGGGCGACACATCCAAGCGCCCAACGCGCCTCCCGCCAGCTAGCTCAGTGCCCCCCAAGTCCCGACTGTCTTACCCGAGTGTTCGGGGTCAGGCTGCCCCAGTCGCTGTCAGAGCGCGGGGGGGAGGGGAGGGCTTCCTTTGTCTCCTTCTCCTCCTTCCCCCATCCTGGCTCTCCCGCGGCCCAGCAGGGAGCGGATACTGGGGAAGACCCCACCCCGGCCTCTGGGTCCCACACCAGGCCGGAGCTTCCCTCTACTCACTGCAGTGGGCGAAGACCGGCAGGACCTG